GGTACTTTGATTTATTGTTTTTTTTTTTTTGGTTTGATTGAGGTATCTGCTTCTATTTTGATCTGGGGTCGATTCGATTTTCAATTTTGATGGGTAACTTCAATAATCTGTTGTTTAGTGAATTGTGATGAATTTATCCGTTTGATGGGTTATCTATAGTATTTGGCTACGATTGTACTGGTGTTTTACAGGAACAGGAAAGGACAAGCCAGATTACCTCGCCACAGTGGATGTTGATCCAAGTTCGCCATCGTATTGTAAAATCCTCCACAGGCTGCCCATGCCTTATGTTGGTGACGAGCTCCACCATTCTGGATGGAATTCCTGCAGTTCTTGCCATGGTGATCCTTCGGCGTCACGCAGATTTCTTGTACTTCCTTCACTTGTGTAAGTGCCCACATTCCCTGTGGCATCATGTGCAACTAAGCCGTCATCTTTACCGAGACTCGTTATGATTCTTGTTGGATGATGTGTTTGTGTTTGTGTTTGCTAGAAGAGCATGGTTTCCTCTGAATTTAGCTTTTTGTTAAACTGATATTTGTGTTTTCTTGTGATTTCTTTTACTTGTAGAAGACGATTATAGCATTCTGTATGCTTCCAGGGAAGAGGATTTCCTATTTGTATTTGGAATTAGAAATGCTTCTACTTACTCTGCTTATAGGACCATAAGACCAGTCCTATGTCAACAAAAATAGTGCTATGGTGTGTGGTTTGATGAAGCATATAAATCATTGAGTTGCATTTGGCAGGAAGTTTTGGCTTGGTTAAAACTTAGAAGATTTTGTGGAAAGATTGCAAATAACTGCTCCATAGCAACTGAAACAATAATAATCCAAATTGGTGGATTTGTGATTCTTATGTTAATTGATCATTCCATATCGGAGTTAAATGGTTTACTTTCTGATTGTGATTGTTTCAGTTCTGTTATATGGTGATGAGCTCTCTCTCTCTCTCTCTCTCTCTCTCTGCATTTAATCACATCATTCAGGTCTGGTCGAATATATGCAATTGATACTCAAAAAGACCCAAATGCTCCAAGTTTGCATAAAGTTGTTGAGCCGAAAGACATAGTACAGAAAACAGGATTGGCTTACCCACACACTGCTCACTGCCTTGCTTCTGGTGATATCATGGTGTCCTGTCTTGGAGACAAAGATGGGAATGCTCAAGGAAATGGATTTCTTCTGCTGGACTCTGATTTCAACGTCAAAGGAAGGTGATTTTTGTTTGTTATCTACTATTTTGCATATTCAAAAGAATGTTCTAGAACTGGGTATTTCCTTTTTGACCGGTGTTGTAGTAAATATGGTGCAACTTCTATCTAATCCTTAATCATGGAGTTACAACACACACACACACACACAATGCTGTAAATGTCCTCTTGCTTATTTTTCCCTGTCCTATTATTTCTTTGTTTTCAAAAAAGTACTTTTCGTGTTTATTTTTCCCAACCAACAGAACTTCAAAGTTATTCTTTACAAACATGCAACATATTAAAATGATAATAAAGTTGCCATTTCGTATAATAGGTGGGAAAAACCAGGCCACACCCCACTATTTGGGTACGATTTCTGGTACCAACCTCGGCATAAGACAATGATCAGCAGCTCCTGGGGGGCCCCTTCTGCGTTCACCAAAGGTTTTGATCTTCAGCATGTCTCAGATGGTCTTTATGGGAGACACCTGCATGTGTACAGCTGGCCCGAGGGCGAGTTGAAACAGACTTTGGATCTTGGAAGTACTGGTCTGTTACCTTTGGAGGTGAATATGATATTAATTTTCATTGTTTTTGTTTAGATAACTTATTTCATTGTCTGAAACTTCTCTCTTAAATCATTTCTAAATGTGCACAGATAAGGTTTTTGCATGACCCTGACAAGGATACTGGATTTGTGGGGTGTGCTTTAACAAGCAACATGGTGAGATTCTTCAAGAGGCCTGATGGGTCATGGGACCATGAGGTACGTACAAAAATGTTTTCTTTTTCTTTCCAATCAGTTGTCTGATTGCACAAATACCCACTTTTCCCCCGTTTTATTTTGGTTTACTAGTTTGAATTCATGACTGGCAGTTATCAGCATCGGTGAAGCCAGTTAAAGTGCAGAATTGGATTCTTCCCGAGATGCCTGGTCTCATAACTGATTTCTTGATCTCTCTCGATGACCGTTTTCTGTATTTGTCGAACTGGCTTCATGGTGATATTAGACAATACAACATTGAGGATCCTGCAAATCCTCGACTGACTGGCCAGGTATGGGTGGGAGGTTCCATTCGAAAAGGAGGCAACGTGACAGCTGTTGCTGATGATGGCACAACATACCAGGTTGACGTGCCAGATATTCAGGTATTACACATTCTTTTCCGAACAGTCATAAATTTCTCCTTTTTTGACAAATTATTGTGCACTTTATTTCTGGAGTTCATTTACAAGTCACCTCTTTTAGCTGGATTGATCTATTTTCTCAGTCACTTAAGTCTTATGTTACTATTTATTCATATAAAAAATTATTTGTTCATTTTTACCTTTTAATTTTATGGTAGGGACATAAAATCCGAGGAGGGCCTCAGATGATACAACTAAGTTTGGATGGAAAGCGACTGTATGTGACGAACTCTCTCTTCAGCACTTGGGATCGTCAGTTTTACCCTGAACTCGTGGAGAAAGGCAGTCATATCCTGCAGATTGATGTTGATACCGATAAAGGTGGTCTGGCAATCAACCCGAATTTCTTTGTGGATTTTGGTTCTGAACCAGACGGCCCCTCGTTGGCGCATGAGATGAGATATCCAGGTGGAGATTGCACCTCTGACATCTGGATTTGAATCGAAAGTTTTTTCATAGTTGAATGCTTTCTATACCCTTTTGGGTAAATAATGCTGTTTAGAAAATAAAATTTGTGAGGAGGAGATTTGACATTAAATAGCTTGAGGGACTTGGAATACACATATCTTTGTTGATTGAGCTATTATCCTCTTGGTTGTCAACCTTCGGCATTGTTCTTCAGTTTGTTGAAACTTAACTTGTGAATGTTGCAAGCACAGGTACTTCAGTTTGTTGAAACTTAACTTGTGTATGATGCAAGCACATGTAATGCGGTAAGAATTGCTTCTTTAATGAATTTGACAATGTCTTCTATCGAATATAAAAAAAGTACATTTATTACATTTTAATGATTCAATATGTACTTGTATTTCTCCTATGAAAGAAAATAAAGTTTACATTCACGAATACATATTTGTGTAGGTAAATAAATAATTTAACAGACCCTCACAACTCTTCCTCAGCCGGCTTGAGCAGAGTAGGCAAGCACGTACAAGTATTAGTAGCATAACTTAAAAAACCTTCCTCGTCATTAATATGTTTGCTTGAGGCAAATTGTGAACTCTCGAGAGGATCGATGACTGTATAAAAGATACAGGGTTAAAACATCTGAGAATTCTTAATTGGGTAGTGATACATAGTTCCATCAGGCAAAGTCACTTGTATAAGTTTTCTATTTGCTCCCTGTACAAGGATACAACCCGATCTCTTCGTATTTTCATGGTTGGAGTCATTAAACCACTATCGATCTGCAATTAGGTTGACAATAAAGGATCAATGATTTTCATTAATAAACCCATAAACAAGTCCTGATGGCATGTGTAACAAGTTATACCGTGAATGGTTCATCAAGCACAAGGATGGGCCCGACTTGAAACGAACAATCCTTGGTCCTGCATTAACAGCAACTGATTAGCTCTTAATTTTAATCTTCATCACACAGATTTTTAATTTCACATTGCTCAATTAAGAATCTGTCCAAGTTAAAAATTATATATGGAAGGGGAAATTGTTAATTTTAGACCTCCTAAATAACTCCTTTATCCTGGACATATAATTATTAATTAGACAGATGAATCATTTGTAGAGACATTACACTGAAGACGCTACTATTTAAGATAAAATAACGTATCGGCAAAATTTCACAGTTCACAAGATATAAAAAATTGATAATTCGGAAAAATGTTACCAAGAAGAAGCTCGACTTACCAATTTCTCAACTCCTCATGCAACAGATTAATCTGTTTCTGCATACTAAGCTCAGAGGCATCAGATTCCACTAGAGACAACCTTTTAGCCGCCACGAGAATCTCTTCTTTGTCTGGGACTATTATAGCTCCAAGACGCCGTTGATCCTAAAAAGGAAAAAAAAAAAAAAAAACAAAAAACATGCTTTACTACATATTACATAGATTAACAGTGATTTATGTTGAGAAATGACTATTCTGACCTGGCCAATAACCACAATTTGATGAATAAGTTTACTTCTAAGGGCAGCTTCTTCAACTACCGCCGGCTCAACATTTTCACCTGCCACACAAATTGGCCTCCAAAATAAACCAAAAAATATATGCCTTGGACAATGAATAGCTAAAAAACAAACGGATATATTTGCAACAAACACATGACGAGAATGCAAGGTGGTTTCTTTACACCAGTTGTGATATTACAAGATGAAAACTTCTAAACAGAATTTTCAAAAAAAAAAAAAGAAATGGTAGAATTATACTCAAACAACGTGAAAAAAAAATCATTGTATATATATAACACAATCGTTCAGTAAGCTTACGGGAGTTGGATGTAACAAGTTATTTCAACATCGAAACTGAGTTTACCGGTCGAAAGGACTATTGTATCTTTTGCACGTCCTTCTAGAACAATTACTCCTCCAGCTTGACGACTCCGTCCTCTCGAATGATGAGGACAAATCCAACCAATATCACCAGTATTTAGCCAACCATCCTCATCTATTGCTTGTTTTGTCGCCAATGAATTCTGAATGGACATATTTCAGAAAACAACACAATCACGTTTAATTTTAATAGACATAAGCTTGTATGAACCAACTCACCGAGATAATATCAAATAATATTACATAATCATTCACTAAATAAATAAGAAAATTAAAAATAAAATTATTGAGAATCAGACATGTAAGAATATATTGGATAGTTACAATATTTCATTTACAAGCTTCAAACTACAGCCTTTAAGTTGTTCAGAGTAGAGACGTTTCAGCATCTAGTTCAGCATCAATATGCGATAATAATAAGAGATGAAGCTACCTTGTAATAACCTTTCATCACTTGTGGGCCCCTTACTTTCACAACGCCTTTCGATCCATGAGGAAGAACCTCATCTGTTTCAGCATCAACAACTTTTATTTCCGTGTCTCGAATAGGACGTCCAATGGAACCAAGAACCTTCAAACATTAAGTCTGTCAAGAAAAAATGTGCCATGCAAGAAAACAAATAATGTAACCTATGCATTTGAAACTAATTTCGCACACATACTACCGAATATGGAATGGTGAAAGAACATATTCTGCCTCGAAATGGATAAAAGAGACAGTTATTCATCAAATTGAAGGGAAGATAAGCTGTGGGAAAGATCAAATTTCGTTGCATCACCGTGATCTAATGGAGCCTGAACTTCTTTTGCTTGTAAACAAATGGAAAATGTTGCTTACATTATAGTTCATATGTCGAGCGGCAACCACAGGAGACGTTTCTGTCAAACCATATCCATTTAGGAGCTTTATCTCAATTGCCTGTTGGAAAAAAAAATACATTATCTTGAGACAGACACTGAATTCCCCTTGTATAACTAACTAAAAAAATTTACAAACAACTAACCTCAAAGAACCTGTCGACGTGTGGAGCCAAGCTGCCGCCTCCACTAATGCCAGCCTGTCACATGTTGAAAATAAGTCCATGCTTATTATTCTCAAACATTTTACCATTTGACGATCCCTTATAAGGGATAGACAACAGTAAGTATCTACCATGCAATACAAAGTTACAAACCTTTGATATGCCAATAGCAGAATGAATTTTACTATAGACAATTTTCTTTGCCAATGCGTGCAATGGCCACGATATGGTACCAATGATCCTAGCCAATAGCCAATCAAAAAATGCAGCAAGGTGCGTAGGTTGTTCAGGATTCCTCTCAAGACACTTTCCCTGGAAGCAGATAAAAATTACTAAAATAGTGATACTAAGAACCAGAATGAGTACTAAAAACTAAAGATCAAGCAACCTTTCTCCAAGTAACCTAGCCTCTCAGAATAGTTTATCTTTATTTACAAGAATATATAAAATGAGTACTTAATCTACATAATTTCAATTGCTCATAGGATACCATTAATGTCACATGCATTTCACTGTCGGACATACCAAGGATTTTATTTGTCCAAGGCTGAAAAAGAAGGACCCCGCAGTAAATATCAAAAGGTTTAACAAGACGAATATGTTATAACTTAACGAATATGCATCACAGTGAAGATGATAATTAAATACATGGCATTGCTTCTTTGCTGCATTCCAACTGACTCATGCATAGAATCTTAACCTATCGAGGGAAGGAATTCCAACAGTTGTTCGTGTTAATAGAAAATATAAAGCAGTATGATTATGACAAAGTATCAAATTAAGGTTCTCATTTACAATAGCTAATTGCTATCGTTGCTATCATATTGTTATCTTTGCAGAAAATGTTGGTTAAGATTATCATCCAATCGAATTATTAAGTAAGGTTATCGTCGCCAGTAATTAGTTCAAAGAGTTATCACGCTTCACAAATTCTGAAAAACAACATAACCAAATTCAGAAAGTTCAACCTCATAAATTCTCCTGGCCTCCATGTATGCTAAACTGATCTTTAAAAATAGAAGAGCAACAAGTTTACGAGAAGCAGAACTCGTACTGATCTGTTTCTGTATCCCACTGCCATAAGAGAAAACCAACCTCAATGATCTATCCTAAACTAAAACGACCAAAACGGGTACATAATTAAACTGACGCAAAAATTGATATAGAAAGTACAGCTATTGTAATCAATCATTAAAATTGGACAATTAAAGTGGAACTCTGTTAGCATGTCCTGAATCTCAAAAGGAAAAAGATAATATGGGACCATGTTTGTGTGCAAAACCGAACTAATTATGGAATCTAATATTCTGAATACCATGAATAATACATGACCCGGAAATGCACATAAAAAAGAAAAAGATAATGGCAGATGGTGAAATCAAAAGGAGTACGGATCGTATCGTACGCGCTTTTAAATGCAAACATCAAAAGTAGCATCTAACCTTAATTATTTTCATTAATCCTTTTAATCCAAGAAATGGTCCCAGAATTGGTAAATCCAAGCCAATGTATAAACAGTTACACATAATCTATGTTTCTCCATCAATATCCAAGGGATATGAGATCCATCACTGCTTTTAGCAGCACCATGGAAGTAGGAAGTCTAAAATTTACCTGCAAAGCGTCTCATATACTAAAGGGACGGATATAACATATTTAGGCTGATAACGACGCAAATCGTCCTGCAATCAAATTAAATATTGATTTACTGTGACAAATAAATAAACATAAAATAAATCAATCCATCAATCACTGGGAACTCAAAAAGGCATAAAATATTCATTTATAGCATACCTTCAGATTCTTGACAGTGGTGTATACTTGCTCAACACCATGAGTAAATATGAAATACTCACAGGCCCGTTCATATGCATGCCAAGGTGGAAGCATGCTCACAAATCTATCCCCAGGAACAGCTGGCACAATGTCCCATAAGGTTGAGACCTAAGTATTGAACAACAGAATATCTCATTAAATGATGGTTTATTTTTTTTATTTTTTATTTTTTTTTTGGTAAAACACCTAATCAGA